TTTAGTGTGTGCGTTGAAGCGTGACGGAGTTTGAATACACTGGTTGTTGCAGAAGTAGACCGCTGTTAATAACACATGTGCTTAGACGCAGTAGTGAGGTTGGACACATGTGTTATCCAACACCATCGAGCGTTGTGACAGCAAGTTTATACACATGTGCTTAGACGCAATAGTGCGGTTGGACACACCGCAGGTATAGTGTGTTGGATTGTAGAAGTAGGCCAAAGAATTTTACCTGTAAGATTACAAAATATCATTTCAGGGATTGTCGATTGTGTTTGGTGGAGTTCACTATTATTATTATTTCGTGTTATTATATTATTATTATATTATTTTTTATTATATTATTTTATTATATTATATATAAACTATTTAAAAATATTTTTAACAAACTTTAGTATAGTATCATGTGGGTAATTAGCAATTATGCCTTTTTAAAAATAATAATTTTATTATTTTTTCGAGGGGGGACACGAGATGGTAAGAAAATAATATTTTTAAAAAATTTTTTAATGCAAGTGTTAGTAGTATAAGTATAATTAGGAGGAGTAGCAAACATGCTTTTTTAAAATAATCATGTTTTTTCGAGGGAAATCGGACACAAATAAAAAACATGATTATTTTAAAAAAGCAAGTGTGCTGAACCCCTAATTTAAACATACTACTAGTGTGTGGCTTCGTAGGTATCTGTGTGTGTGTCTTTTTGAAAATGTATGTGCGTCTGCGCGTGTGTGTCTGTGTGAGTGTTTGTGCATCTGTGAGTGTATTTGTATGTATGTGTGTGTGCCATTATGTGTCTGTGTGTGTATCTTGTCTGTCTGTGGCTGTGAGTGTCTGTGTGTGGCTTTGTGTGTATCTGTGTGTGTCTCTGTCGGTGTATTTATTATACGATGTCTGCGTGTCTCTGTTTGTGTCGGTTTATGCGTCTGCCTGTATGTCTGTGTGCGTGTGTGACTGTATTCGTTCGTTCTCTCTCTCTCTCTCTCTCTCTCTCACATTCTCTCTCTCACATTCTCTCTCTCACATTATCTCTCTCCCTCTCTCTCACATTCTCTCTCTGCCTCACATTGTCTCTCTCACACATTCTCTCTCTCACATCTCTCTCTCTCAAATTCTCTCTCTCACATTCTCTCTCTCACATTCTCTCTCTTGTATGAAAGGAGCGGAGTGGAAGGGCAGAATGTTAGACCGGCCTGAAAATAAAGTTTGTTCGTTCGTTCGTTCGTTTGTTCTCTCTCACATTCTCTATCTCTTTCTCTCAAATTTTCTCTTTCTCTCTCTCGCATTCTCTATCTCTCTCTATCTCACATTCTCTCTCTCTCTCTCTTTATCTGTCCATCTCCACGATCATTCTCTTTGTCTTCCTCTGCCTCTTCTACCCTCTGAACTTTCCAGTCGTCACGATATTTTCCAGTGCTCCAGTGTCATTTTTCGAAGAAGAAAAAAATCCGACTCGATGCGCATTTGAAGCCATGACTTTCGGGCTTACAGACGAGCGTCTAACCGCTACGCCAGGAAAATAATGAAATGTAAAATCACGTGGGATACCACAGGCAGAAAAACAGCAGGCCAACAGCAATAAAGATCACTTATGAGAGTCTTAGGTGTCAAAGCAACGATATAAGAAGGATATAAATAGAACAGGTCTGCTGTCATATAAGTAAAAGACCCTTTTCTACGTTTTCGGCCGTATTGAGCATATAGGCTAGACCTATATTATATAGCACAATCGGTACTAGGTGGACAATGTGGTCAACATCACACCGGCCACCCTTACTAGCCAGGACTTTACCTGGCACCTATTCAGGACTGGGTTGACCTGCCAGCCAAGGGCTACTTTTAAAACGGAAAAAGGGTCCGGTTCTGCTAGATATACAAGTACGAACTAAATACAAATAATGAATACGAAAGTTATGTCACAGTTCTTTAACACAAATAAAATACAGCCCTGATAAAGTCAGACACTAAATAGTTTTAGTTTTTGTTAACATCTAGACAGATAAAAAAAAAAAAAAGAACACATTCAAATGAAATATTATTCAAATGATATTTTAAAGATGGCCATTTATTTACACACACAATGGTAAAACGAGCATTTGTTAACAAACAACACATAAGGTTTGTGGCAGTCAGCGTGCACTGGATCGCAAATGATTCCTCCCCACCACGCTTAACGGCAGAAGTGGTTTATGATTATTATGATGATAATGATGAACACCTTAAGAAGAGCAAGACAAAAACTTATTCACTAAATCAAAGATTTATTTCCAACCACCATAATACAATTCATTCATTGACAAGTAACACTTTGAAGATTCGAATTTATTCGTAAACAACACATTAAACATGAAAAAAGATAAAATGTTGTGTACACGTAAGCTTATCATATGGCGCCGCATTATGGACAATGAACAAACTTCACATTAAAAGTTAGTATTAACGCATTTAAAACAAAGCAAGTGTTAATATGACAGTTGTCAAATGTTATGTGTACGAACGTCCTACTGTATGGCACTACAACATGTGCAGTAAACAAGCCATTACAAATACAGAATAGGACCCTGAGAGACTGGCTATACACAACAATAGATTCCCCGTGTGGGTTCCGGGGCCCTATTATAGGGAAAACAAGAATAGACCTATTGCCTACCCAAAAAGCATGTCGTAAGAGTCGACTAATTGGGAGCTTACTTCGAAGTCGAAGTGCATCTGCCTGAGAGGCAAGGAATCAGCAGTCTGCATACAAATTAGTCAGATATGTCAAACGGATGCACACGCAACACTCAGGTTTTGGAACATGACTGCAGTCCAGAAGTAGACGAACAACCGGAACTTCCCGCCGGAGTTTACAGCTGGTGAATGCGAAGAAGAAGAAGACAGTAGATGGCTTTTTAATTATCGAAAAAAGCCAGATACATATAATACGGAAACACAGTTTATGAAAAATCAGGAGCCGTTGGCCGAGCGGTTACAACGTCCGGCTCTCATACGGGTGACCCGGGTTCGACCCCTGGTAAGTTGATGGAGTGTTTCTGTGGAGGGAAGGATTAAACATCCTAACCTGTAGTCCCCTGGTGACAGCACTTGTGGTGCGGGTTTAAATCCTTACGATCCCCTGTCGACATCATCATTCCGTAACACTGCGTTTCGTTGGGTCACCAGTTTCTGTTGACTGGTCAGCTCTCTCCACCTTTGGCGGTCAGTTGTGATGGACTTCATGGTAGCATGCCTGAAGCCTGTCCAGTCAGTCAGGTTCTGTAACCAGGTCTTTCTTGGTCTGCTTCTTCTTCTCTTTCCCTCTACTGAGCCCTGTAGTATTGTTTTTCAGAGGCTGTTAGATCTTTTTACATGTCCATACCATTGCATTTTCTCCCCTTTTCACTGTAGTTAAAAGAGGTTCATAGCTGTCAGTGTCAACTACAGTTGCCCTGTCTACACTGCCTTAAAATAAAAATTAAAATAAAAATGGTACATACAGACAGTAGTGGTAGTTGATAAAAATACAATGTGTGGGGAAAAAAAAAAAAGAAAGACCGAAGACGTGTAAAAATAGCTCGCTTCATAAAAGACTTATGTCCGGTAATACCTTTCCCTTCCAGGAAGACTTCTGTTCCATAACACCTTTCCTTTCCAGGAAGACTTGTTCCATAGCACCTTTTCTTTCCAGTAAAAGACTTTTGTCCTATAACACCTTTCCTTCCCATGAAGACTTCTATTTCATAACTTCTTTCTTTTCCAGGAAGACTTTAGTTCCATAACACCTTTCCCTTCCAGGAAAACGTTTATTCCATAAAACCTTTCCTTTCCAGGAAGACTTTTGTTTCATAACACCTTTCCTTTCCAGGAAAAGACTTCGTTCCATAACACCTTTCCTTTCCAGGAAAAGACTTCTGTTACATAACACCTTTCCTTTCCAGGAAGACTCTTGTTCCATTACACCTTTGTTTTCCTGGCGACAGTTTTATATTTTACTACTGGGAGGCATGAACATCAAAGCCTTCGGGGTTGGGCAGATAAGGCCAGCGATGGATTCTCTCCTCTCCCTAACACAAAGCCTGGACAATATTGTTAGGACAATGCGTTGTTTCGTGCAGCATAATCCCTCCATCGACCTGCCTTGTTTCTTTTAAAGGAAAGGTAAAAAAAAATGCGATATTAAAAGACATGGCACTGATTAGTAGTCACACTGGAAGGGAGGCGAGCGAAATACAGACAGTGACAAAAGTGGGAGGATACATAACTTTAATATATAGAAGAAAGGCAGACTGGAAGAGTGTACAGCGGGGACTAGAGACCGTAAATTGTTGGAGATTCATTACCGTCAGCCCTACTTGTGAAGATGCCACATGATTAAATTGCAAAGCAATTTAATTTCTAATTTGGTGAAAATTACATCGGGCACTTCGTACTTCACTCACATTGTTCAGTACTTCTGCTTGCCGTTACTTTATACATTATGTGCTATATGCAGCGCTGTACTTTGCAGTCCTGATATTTCAATTCTGTTAAATGTTTGTTATCCTGAAAGTATAATGAAAGGATAATTGGTTTAGTCTTCAAAGTTTTATTGATATTATAAGTGTATTAATGATTATTAGTTCATATAATGTTTATGATAAAAATAGTTAACGTTTCAATTTTTCTGAAAATTTTAAAACGCCACTCGTATATTTATCCATTCAATACTTCTTTTTATAATAAGTTCTGCAAAGTTCTGGTTGTTCATCCACTTCTGGGCTGCAGTTCTGTTCCAGAACCTGAGTGTTGCGTGTGTATCCATTTTACAGACTGCTGGTTCCTTGCCTCTCAGGCAGATATACTCTGACTTAGGAGGAAGCTCCCAGTTAGTCGACTATTACGACATACTTTGGGTAGGCAGTGGTCCATTCTTGTTTTCCCTATAATAGGGCCCTGGTACCCACACGGGGATCTAGGTAATCATTTTCCATGACTTTGTATTATTACATCTAAGCAATACACAACACAGATAACAAGGCAACTTACGTAACACTGCCATATCCTGGATTCTGGTATCGAATAACTGAATTTTGGCTATGACTACCACTAGACAACAGGTTCTCTGAGGAATCGTTACGTTCTGGTCGTCTTCCTGGGACAATGACGTAATCGACACTGATGTCGTCCGCAGGCTGATGTGGGGGTCTAGGAGGTGGGTCCCTGCGGCGGGGCCGCTGCCAGCTTCGTGTAAATCTGTGCTCGCTGCTTCGGACCGATCTTTCCAGTGGGTGCGGTCTTAGTGTGTAAGGTCTGGCGGCGTCAGGGGTCGTGGGAAGCTGGACAATGTCAAAGGCAACTTTATACATCTAATGTGGAATTTTTGCAGGTGTTTTCACTGCTCGGGTATAAATAATCAACAGAAAAATAAAACTATAAAGTAAGTAATAAAGATCCCTTTTCACGCCCTAGGCGCTTCGGGAATATGGGAAGAGCACCCATATATTTACAGACCAATCGGCACTAGGTGGGTAATGTGGTCAGCATTACTTCCCCAGGACATACATCCTGGTACCCATTTTAGGCTGGATTGACCTGCGACGCCCCGCACTATGATAAATGTTCACGCAACTAGCAGTGGGTTTCGATCGCGGTACTTTGGAATTACGAGTCGGTCTCGCAATACCTAAGCCACGGACGCTGCAAAGTGAAAACTATCTAAATTTAAAACAAGTTCAATGCTTAGAGCCATCTAGGGGACCACCAAGAAGTAGGGGACCACCAAGAAGTAAGGGACCACCGAGACGTATGGGACCACCAAAAGGTAGGGGACCACAAAGAAGCCGGGGACCAACAAGAAGTAGGGGACCACCAAGAAGTAGGGGACCACCAAGAAGTAAGGGACCAACAAGAAGTAGGGGACCACCAAGAAGTAGGGGACCACCAAGAAGTAGGGGACCACCAAGAAGTAAGGGACCACCAAGAAGTAAGGGACCACCAAGAAGTAGGGGACCACCAAGAAGTAGGGGACCACCAAGAAGTAGGGGACCACCAAGAAGTAAGGGACCACCAAGAAGTAGGGGACCACCAAGAAGTAGGGGACCACCAAGAAGTAGGGGACCACCAAGAAGTATGGGACCACCAAGAAGTAGGGGACCACCAAGAAGTAGGGGACCACCAAGAAGTAGGGGACCACCAAGAAGTAGGGGATCAACAAGAAGTAGGGGATCGACAAGAAGTAGGGGATCAACAAGAAGTAGGGGACCATCAAGAAGTAGGGGACCACCAAGAAGTAGGGAACCATCAAGAAGTAGGGGACCACCAAGAAGTAAGGGACCACCAAGAAGTAAGGGACCACCAAGAAGTAAGGGACCACCAAGAAGTAAGGGACCACCAAGAAGTAAGGGACCACCAAGAAGTAAGGGACCACCAAGAAGTAGGGGACCACCAAGAAGTAGGGGACCACCAAGAAGTAGGGGACCACCAAGAAGTAGGGGATCAACAAGAAGTAGGGGATCAACAAGAAGTAATATACCACCAAGAAGCCGGGGACCAACAAGAAGTAGGGGACCACCAAGAAGTAGGGGACCACCAAGAAGTAGGGGATCAACAAGAAGTAGGGGACCACCAAGAAGTAAGGGACCACCAAGAAGTAGGGGATCAACAAGATGTAGGGGACCACCAAGAAGTAGGGGACACTAAGAAGTAGGGGACCACCAAGAAGTAAGGGACCACCAAGAAGTAAGGGACCACCAAGAAGTAAGGGACCACCAAGAAGTAGGGGACCACCACCAAGAAGTAGGGGACCACCAAGAAGTAGGGGACCACCAAGAAGTAGGGGACCACCAAGAAGTAGGGGACCACCAAGAAGTAGGGGACCACCAAGAAGTAGGGGACCACCAAGAAGTAGGGGACCACCAAGAAGTAAGGGACCACCAAGAAGTAGGGGACCACCAAGAAGTAGGGGACCACCAAGAAGTAGGGGACCACCAAGAAGTAGGGGACCACCAAGAAGTAGGGGACCACCAAGAAGTAAGGGACCACCAAGAAGTAGGGGACCACCAAGAAGTAGGGGACCACCAAGAAGTAGGGACCAAGAAAGAAGTAGGGGACCACCAAGAAGTAGGGGACCACCAAGAAGTAGGGGACCACCAAGAAGTAGGGGACCACCAAGAAGTAGGGGACCACCAAGAAGTAGGGGACCACCAAGAAGTAGGGGACCACCAAGAAGTAGGGGACCACCAAGAAGTAAGTAGGGACCACCAAGAAGTAGGGGACCACCAAGAAGTAGGGGATCACCAAGAAGTAGGGGACCAAGGGACCACCAAGAAGTAAGGGACCACCAAGAAGTAGGGGATCAACAAGAAGTAAGGGACCACCAAGAAGTAGGGGACCACCAAGAAGTAAGGGACCACCAAGAAGTAGGGGACCACCAAGAAGTAGGGGACCACCAAGAAGTAGGGGACCACCAAGAAGTAGGGGACCACCAAGAAGTAGGGGACCACCAAGAAGTAGGGGACCACCAAGAAGTAAGGGACCACCAAGAAGTAGGGGACCACCAAGAAGTAAGGGACCACCAAGAAGTAGGGGATCAACAAGAAGTAAGGGACCACCAAGAAGTAGGGGACCACCAAGAAGTAGGGAACCATCAAGAAGTAGGGGACCACCAAGAAGTAGGGGACCATCAAGAAGTAGGGGACCACCAAGAAGTAGGGGACCACCAAGAAGTAGGGGACCACCAAGAAGTAGGGGACCACCAAGAAGTAAGGGACCACCAAGAAGTAGGGGACCACCAAGAAGTAGGGGATCAACAAGAAGTAGGGGACCACCAAGAAGACCACCAAGAAGTAGGGGACCACCAAGAAGTAGGGGACCAACAAGATGTAGGGGACCACCAAGAAGTAGGGGACCACCAAGAAGTAGGGGACCACCAAGAAGTAGGGGACCACCAAGAAGTAGGGGACCACCAAGAAGTAGGGGACCACCAAGAAGTAGGGGACCACCAAGAAGTAGGGACCACCACCAAGAAGTAGGGGACCATCAAGAAGTAGGGGACCACCAAGAAGTAGGGGACCACCAAGAAGTAGGGGACAACAAGAAGTAGGGGACCACCAAGAAGTAGGGGACCACCAAGAAGTAGGGGACCACCAAGAAGTAGGGGACCAACAAGAAGTAGGGGACCACCAAGAAGTAAGGGACCACCAAGAAGTAGGGGATCAACAAGATGTAGGGGACCACCAAGAAGTAGGGGACCACCAAGAAGGGATCAACAAGAGTAGGGACCACCAAGAAGTAGGGGACCACCAAGAAGTAGGGGACCACCAAGAAGTAGGGGACCACCAAGAAGTAGGGGACCACCAAGAAGTAGGGGATCAACAAGAAGTAGGGGACCACCAAGAAGTAAGGGACCACCAAGAAGTAGGGGATCAACAAGATGTAGGGGACCACCAAGAAGTAGGGGACCACCAAGAAGTAGGGGACCACCAAGAAGTAGGGGACCACCAAGAAGTAGGGGACCACCAAGAAGTAAGGGACCACCAAGAAGTAGGGGACCACCAAGAAGTAGGGGACCACCAAGAAGTAGGGGATCAACAAGAAGTAGGGGACCACCAAGAAGTAGGGGACCACCAAGAAGAAAATAAATTCACTGACACAGTGGGACTCCTCAGTATCAAAGAATACTAGGTGACCGAGCGTGCCCTAGCTCGGATAGGACCATTTGTTAACTTGCGACGCCAGAATATGGACAACAGAAAGAAAGACGCAGAGCGTCAACTAATGCAACGATAGTCTGTTCCAGATGTTGAGTCCAACGTCTCACCCAGCAGCAGTTCGATGTATGTTGTTGAAATCTGGCAGGCAACTTGTTAATAATCATGCTCTAGTGACAATTGTTTTTTAATGTAAACAAACATCTAGTATTTGCGGAATACGACGCTTAGAGCAGTCAGCGTTAACGTGCTTGCTAACTAAATAACGGGAATTTGTCAAACCATCAGATAGCACGTGTTTTGTAGGGGTTTTACTCTCATAGGGTGTCGGCTCTGTGGCTAAGTCGATGCGAACGCTTAGTGATGCCGAGATGCTGGGTTTGATTCCAGCTGCGGGCCATGCACCTCGCGTTGGTTTTGACAGTGGTATCAAGAAAGCTGACCGTCCAGAAAGCAATGGCAAACTACTTGACGTAAATTTGCCTAGAAAAACTACACAGCAGCCAGGGGCTATTGGGTTTGGTTCTGCAACGTCCTGTAAAGGATACGCAACTAACCTTAACTCTCATAGGGTAAGTTTGAGGTCTAAACAATGAATCAACATCATGGCACACGGGTAGTAACCCATAAGTGCTCGGTTCTTCTTCTAACTCAAGTCCGAAGAAGCTCAGCACAGTGCACAAGCTCTGTAGCACCAGCGATGATCCTGTAATTCTTTGGTTAGATTTTTAACTCCAAATTTTGCCTGGGCAGCGCTATTAGGTTACTCTTTTCGATTTCCAACTGCCAAGGGATTTTTTTTCTGAGCAACAATGCATGAACACGGGCGTCTGATCTCACTACCCAGAGACCAGGAGAAATTACAAGAAGTCCAAGTCCACGTGAACAAATCTCAGCCTTCACCGGGGATTGAACCCGGAACATCTAACACTCAAGGCGGACACCCTAACCCGAGACCCCGCATTTTCTTCTCGTTGGGATAGAGAATAAAGTTATATAAATCAACTAACATATAAAAATTGATACACTATATTGATTTAGAGTTGTTTTTGTTTTCAATCGCTGGAGTACATGATCAAGATATATAAATAAGTTAGAATGTAAATATTAAAATGCATGAAATAATGCAGTCAACATGTATTTGGTAACTATATGTTTGCACACGAGTGGTGTGTGTGTGTGTGTGTGTGTGTGTGTGTGTGTGTGTGCGCGCGTACTGCGTGCGTGCGTGAGTGTGTGTGTGTGTTTGGGATGTTTACCTTGCCAAATGAGGTACTAAATAAACAGCCAACCGATCACTTCAAAAAACAAAAACAAAAAACAACAACCAATCAATCAATCAGACATGTAAGTAACCAGTCAAACAAAGAGACAGTCAACATGTCAAACAACTAACCAATCCACCGCACAAACAAAATCAACAATATAATGACAGATGCATGTTAATTATCCTACATTACGTAAACTCTGACTTACTTTAGGTCGTGGGGGAGGTGGTTTCATGTAGACGCCATCAGCTTCGTCATCCTCGGAGTCACTGTCTCGGGGTGCGGGAGTAACAGTGATGCTTTCTGTATGTTCTTCGTTGACCTTCGTCGCTCTGTCTGTTGTGTCTGGCTGGAGGTCATCTGTTTGATACATTCGTGTTTAACTACAGAATCTCAACTGTACTGAGCTGAGAGTAAACGTGTTTACCGACAAAGTGTTGGGTATGTTAGCAACAGAATCTCAACTGTATTGAGCTGAGAGTAAACGTGTTTACCGACAAAGTGTTGGGTATGTTAGCAACAGAATCTCAACTGTACTGAGCTGAGAGTAAACGTGTTTACCGACAGAGTGTTTGGTATATTTAAAAACATAATGTTGTTTGTGTTGGGTATATTTAAAGACATAAGTCTATATATTTTGTTAATGTTTAGCAACAAAATGTTGTTTGTGATGGGTATATTTAAAAACAGAATGTTGTTTATGTTGCGCGTGTTTAAAAAGGGATGTTTTTGTGTTGGTTATATTTAAAAACAGAATTTTGTTGCTGTTGGGTATATTTAAAAACATAATTCTGTGTGTATTGTTTATGTTTAGCAACGCAGTGTTGTTTATGATGAGTATATTTTAAAAAAAAAAGATTGTTACAAGTGTTGAGTATGTTTAGCCACAATGTTGTTTTGAGAACGTTTAGCAACAGAATTACGTTTATGTTGAGTGTACGCATTTTTAGCAGGTGTGTTATTTGTGCTGGGCGGTGCGTGGTTAAGTCGGCGAAGCGCTGTTTAGTTTTGGCTGAAGGGTTAAAGTTAAGATTGAGTTGACCAACTTCATTGCATTTATCCAGTCTGACCGTGTCTCTCCCCGCACAACGGCTAGCTGTCTGCCGATAGCATCACAGAAGGTACGAACCCCGTAGTTCAAGAAACGATCTTCACAGATGGCCGTCAAAATAACACTTGGGAATAAGTGACACAGTTTGTGATGAGCGTTGTTTGTGTTTATATTGCACAACGAGCAGCTACACTTAACATAATAATGGCAAAATACGACAAGTAAAATAAATGTTTTGGGTGTGTGACCCAGAGCAGTCTTAACTGCATGATTAGGCCCCTGGGCAAATCAGTGTGCTGTGGCCCCTAAGAAAAACACTCACTTGACATACACAGATTATCATGGGGCGCCTATGCTGATGGGGCTAGCCGGACTATGTGTTACGGCGGCACAGAGGTAATGTAATATCGATGTTCTTTAAGCCTGAGTGAAACATGCACTAGTACCTTTAACCATGATATTCACCTTGAACCATGATATTCGCCTTGAACCATGATATTCACCGTGAACCATGATATTCACCTTGAACCATGATATTCACCTTCAACCATGATATTCACCTTCAACAATGTTGCTCACCTTCAACAATGATATTCTCTTTCAACAATGATATTTACCTTCAACAATGCTATTCACCTTTAACAATGTTGTTCACCTTTAACAATGCTATTCACCTTCGACAAAAATATTCACCTTCAACAATGACATTCACCTTCAACAAAAATATTCACCTTCAACAATGATATTCACCTTTAACAATGCTATTCACCTTTAACAATGCTATTCACCTTCAACAAAAATAATCACCTTCAACAATGCTATTCACCTTCAACAATGCTATTCATCTTCAACAATGCTATTCACTTTCAACAATAATATTCACCTTCAACAATGCTATTCATCTTCAACAATGCTATTCACTTTCAACAATAATATTCACCTTCAACAATGATATTCACCTTCAACAATGCTATTCACTTTCAACAATAATATTCACCTTCAACAATGATATTCACCTTCAACATTGATATTCACCTTCAACAATAATATTCACCTTCAACAATAATGATCACCTTCAACAATAATATTCACCTTCAACAACGATATTCTCGGAGTCCTGAAGAACATCTACACTGAAGAAGACAGCGGCTTGTGCAGGAAACAGCTTGTCCATCAAAAACACAACGATGCCCAGAACAACGCAGATGATACCTAGTCATGGAAATAATAATAATAATATTAATAATAATGATAATAATAATATTTATAATTTTTTGCAAAACTACCCCCACCACCCTTTTTTCACTTTGCTGTTAATGTTTTCACTAGGCAATTTTACGCTCGGTAGTTTGCCACTGCTACTTATACGGGGGGAGGGAGGGGATTTCAAATTAAAACCTTTAAAGTATGATAGAAATTACAATAATTAGGCCGCTGTCTCGTAACCTGTCAATATATTTGTTAAGGATGTCAGGAGTTTTAAGCACATAACATTACCAGAGAAACGCAGTGACGTCATAATGACATTTTAAAGATGACCGCTCTTCTTTTGACATACGCCGAAGAGGAGCAGCGTTCTGTCAGTCAGTAAAGGGGTGAAATCTATAGAAATTTAACTGCGAATGTTGACATTCTGCCTATATATTCTTCTATATCTTCCCAATTCGGGAACTGATAGCACGAAGTTGGTACGCATCAACTGCTTGTTTAGTTTAATGTGCCTTTTTTTTTTGTTTTTTAATTATAGTTTTTTTTCCCGCGGCTCCCTAACCTAAGTAAAAGAATGACTATTCGTGTGTAAGACTTGTGTATCTTCGAATATTTCTCTCTGGAGAAGTCGCGTCTCCCCTGGGTGGCGCGGCGCACAGTTTGGGAATCGCTGTTTGAGTTCATTGACCCAGACGATAATTTTGAGATTAAAACAATTCTAGTGACAGCTTCTTGGTTTTGAATGATTTAAATGTTATTCAAAATCAGAAATTACCATTATTTGCTATTTGTTTTAGAACAAAAGTAAAACACCAGGAAATCACCAGAAAATAACATTACCCGTTAAGTAAGTAAAGGGCCCTTTTCCACGCCTTTAGGCGCATAAGGCATATAGGGTTAGAACTATATTTTATAGGCCAATCAGCACAAGATGGGTGATGTGGTCAGCATCACGCTGGACACCTTTACTTTCAGGGACTGCACTAGGTACCCACTCAAGGCTGGGTTAACCTGGGAGCCAAGGTCATTTTTGACAAAAGTCCGGCTCTGCCAGGGAGCGAACCCACGACCTTCTGATCAGCGGCGAGCATCTAATTACTCCGCCACAGCGACTTCCAACATTAACCGTATGAAGAATAAAATGAATTTAACTATAATGATCTACCATTCTTACCAGTTATGAGACAAACCCAAAATGCTGGACCATACGAAAACACAAGGACATCTTCAGAAGTGAAGTTTATCTTCAGATCTAACGGATTTCTCAGGGTTGTCCAGATGATATTGGACGTAATCATCGACAAGCCTGTTAGGGCCAAGAAGTAGGCGCCATACCGTAGAAGGATGAAGAACAGGATGTTGGATAATATCCAAAGTGGAAATGCCAGCCTGTTAATTAGAAGTGGATGTAATTTGTTATTTCATTGTTGCGACTACCACAGTATATGATGGTGATGATGATGATGATGTTCATCATCACCATCTTCCAATTTTGCTGTCAAGTGTCGCGAAAGATGATGGATTGGATTGGCTTTTTACCCCACTAGGACATCACACAAGCGATAAACACCCGATGACACAAAGTGCCACCATGCGGATGAGGATCGCCGTGGAGAGGTCCCAGAAACCGCGTTCAGACATTTGGCCATAATGATGACCTGCCTATATTGCGGCCCCTGGCAAAAGCCAGAGTGGGGCTTCAAATAACAAAAAATAACGTCCTAAGAAGGACGATGGATGCTACTAGAGACTGTCCTTTTGTGTGAAAGTTCAGTCTTTAATGTTGTTAACATAACTTCTTCAAAGCCGCCATTCTGCTCTTGTAAACGATTCCCCGTCAGTGTATAAGTACCGTCACTTCTTGCACATTCTTTTTTGTTCTTGTTTTTCTTCTTCTTCTCTCTTCTGTTTTGTTGTTGTTGTTGTTATTGTTGTTATTATTATTGTAGTTATTGTTGTTGTTGTCTCCCTTACTTAGTCTTTTCCTCCGTACTTCTTCTTTTTCTACTTCTCCTTCTCCTCATCGTCCTTCTCCTCCTTCTCTTCGTCCAAGACACCACCTACTTCTCCACCTACTCTATCTCTTTCTCACACACACACAAACACACGCATACACTCGTACAATCTTACATGTAGTAGTCAAACCCTGCAATTAGTATCATTTATTTTTAAAATTATTAAGGGGAAACTTGCCACAGAGCGATGTGTGAGTACCAGCCGGCCAGTCTGTAATATCTGCCCCATCGGATGCCTTCACCATCAAGGGTGAAGTACTCAGCAACGGTCAGTATAGGCAGGGGCACACCACGAAGTTGGGCAGCTCGGAACTGTCTGTTGAACTGTCCAGCTGTGATGTTAATGTCAAGTAAATATATAGTTAGTTTGTTGCGTATCCTTTACTTCTATTTTTTTTCTTTTCCCTGCCCTTTATCCCTAAATGGAGCATAGGCCCTCAACAAACTCACACTAAGTAGTCCTTTTCTTCCTTCTCTTTCTTCTTCTTTTTCTTCTTCTTCTTCTTCTTCTTCTTCTTCTTCTTCTTCTTCTTCTTCTTCTTCTTCTTCTTCTTCTTCTTCTTCTTCTTCTTCTTCTTCTTCTTCTTCGATCCTTATGTCCGAAAACTTATATCGGGAGGCCGTTAGTTTTATGACAACTATCGTGGAGTCCATATCTCCCTGCGTATCATATTGCTTTGTCTTCATTGTGGTTGGATCAGGCCAGATTTCGCCTCTGTTAGCAGCAGACAGTTGGTTGGCAGCATACAGTTGGTTGGCAGCAGACAGTTGGTGGGCAGCATACAGTTGGTTGGCAGCATACAGTTGGTTGGCAGCATACAGTTGGTTGGCAGCATACAATTGGTTGGCAGCAGACAGTTGGTTGGCAGCAGACAGTTGGTTGGCAGTATACAGTTGGTTGGCAGCATACAGTTGGTTGGCAGCATACAGTTGGTTGGCAGCATACAGTTGGTTGGCAGCATACAATTGGTTGGCAGCAGACAGTTGGTTGGCAGCAGACAGTTGGTTGGCAGCAGACAGTTGGTTGGCAGCATACAGTTGGTTGGCAGCATACAGTTGGTTGGCAGCAGACAGTTGGTTGGCAGCATACAGTTGGTTGGCAGCAGACAATTGGTTGGCAGCAGACAGTTGGTTGGCAGCAGACAGTTGGTTGGCAGCATACAGTTGGTTGGCAGCAGACAGTTGGTTGGCAGCAGACAGTTGGTTGGCAGCAGACAGTTGGTTGGCAGCATACAATTGGTTGGCAGCAGACAGTTGGTTGGCAGCAGACAGTTGGTTGGCAGCATACAATTGGTTGGCAGCATACAATTGGTTGGCAGCAGACAGTTGGTTGGCAGCATACAGTTGGTTGGCAGCATACAATTGGTTGGCAGCATACAATTGGTTGGCAGCAGACAGTTGGTTGGCAGCAGACAGTTGGTTGGCAGCAACATTTAACGATGTTTGAGCATATGCTCAATATTTTCTGGCGCCAGGTTGCAGGGACAAGTGCTCGTGTTTCTTGCACCGAAACATTTGAACTCTTTGCTTTCCCACTCAGTACATCTCATGTCCTTCCCTTCTTTTAACTCCCCTCTCTAGTTTCCTTCTCCGTGTTTGTATTTTTATTTGTTTTGCCCTGTGCATTTCAGTGTAAAGCCTTCCCAGTTGTGTTGTTCTTAGCTTTCCTCAACGCGTGTCCTGTCCAACGCCACCGTCTTTTCTCCGTTTCTTGATTAACAGGAAATTGTTCAGTTCTCTTCCCACGCTTAACATTGCTGATACTATCATACTTTTATTCCTTCTATTCTGAGCAGACACCAGTTAATTAGTAGTTGTAGTACATTAGTAACTGCTTTCAATAGTAAATGCTATCAATGCCAAACGTGGACACTTACATCCTCCTATGAACGTAAAATTGTGACAACAGAGATGAAATGCCTTAGAAGAGCTGCAGGGGTTTCAAGGAAAGACAGAATACGAAATCATGAAATCAGACGAATGCTAGGAATAAAGCCGTCTTTCATGTCATCAAAGAACAACAAATGAAGCGGTTTGGACACCTAACAAGAATGCCCTGGTACTATCCACCACAGCGAGCCACACTAAAACGTTACAACGGGTATAGAGCAAGTGGAAGACCTCGGAAAATATGGAGTGATGGCATTAAGAACAGCCTTACAGAAATGAACATCAGTCTTAATAGTGCTCTTGACAGAGCTCTTCAACGAACATTACATCTCCCCCCTCCCCTCCCCCTCCCCACCGACACTTCGATGAGGTAAAAGGTGGAAGAGAAGAAGAAGAAGTAACTGCTTTACTAGTTTTCCCATACACCCTCACCCCCTTTCCCCCAGTACAGCATTACTGATTTGACAAAATAAAAAAAAAAAAAAAAATGTTTGATGAAAAATATTAAATTTAATATCCTTTACAGGCGTCATAAGCTAGCGCGTTTTATTGGCTAGTTGTGGTTTTACTATGCAATGTTTACGTTCAATAGTTTGCCAGTGTCCATTGACGGTCGGAGTTAATACCATGTCTATATGTATACATATAAATATATATTTACACACACACACGCGCACACCACACACACACACACACACACACTCACACATATTCACACACACTCACACACACACTCACACACACACTCACACACACACTCACGCACACTCATACACACTCACTCACTCACTCACTCACTCACTCTACTCACTCACTCACTCACTAACTCACTCACTCACTCACTAACTCACTCACTCACGCACTCACTCACTCACTCCCTCGTAAATGTATTTAAGTAAAGTATGCCACATCGGCCACACTGGGTATGTGGACTCGGGAGCTAAGACCCCTTAAAGGCCCCTTCTCTCCCTTAAAATTTGCAAAAAGACTAAGTGCCGACAAAATTTTTTTTTATTAAGTAAAGAAGTTGGCTTTTGAAGTATTTGCTATACAATTTCTATATTCGTTCTTATATGTGATTATATTTATTTTTTTCCTCGGCAAAAATAATAAAAAATATAATTATTTTCGCACACTTAAACTAGGCGTAAGCAATTTAAGCCTTGCACTCTAGAAATTTAGAACTGGGCTTAGCCGCCCCCCCCCCCCCCCCCCACCCCACCACTACACACGCAATATTCTATATGTAGCAGCGCCTTTTGTTATTCATATGTATTTTTCAGTACACGCATTTTTTTCTTGTGCATAACAATGTGTCCGTTACATCCCGAAAAAAAAAACTTTCTACAGGAAACCGGAAGACAGCCTCAGTTGCCGGACGTAAGAGAAGTCCCGGACGTTTTCATTTCATGATGTATTTTAATGACATTTCCGAGCTATTTGGTACACAACGTGAGCAAGTGATCATCATCAGGTGCCTTGCCGACTGGCTCAAAAGGATGTGTTGACTAATAATTGTTGTTCTTCTTCTTCTTCTTTAGCGTTGGCTCTTAAAATGCGGTTGGCACGTTGGTATTTTTAATTTATTTACAGCTAGGCAGTGAGAATTATGAAACTGTTAAATACATTCACCAACCTCTAAGCCACAGAGCCGCGCTACGATTGAATAAAAGTATAACATCAATTTGAAACAAGCGACACGTACACACTTTCAAAGTTTGTAAGCACTTTGTCAAAAAGACTGACTGGAAGGGGCTATTGGGAAAGCCAGATTTATACAGTATACTCTGATATATATATGTTAATTTAGAGAAAACATTTTGCCATGTTTGTGAAACAAAGAGAAGATAAATCTGAAGAAACAGCAGATTTGGAGACACTCTCTGATTACCGAACGGGCCGAATCCCAGCCTGCCTTGCAGACCTTCCCAGTTGAAATTTTCGTTGTAGTTGATTGTTTCTCCTTGTATTTGATCCTTGTCGCCTAAAGATAATCAACAATAGTGTTTATAAAAAAAAAGAAGATATTATTAATAATAATAAGCAGAAAATGAATAAGAGAAAGGGGGAAAGAGGACGAGGAAGAAGAATATAATAATAATAATATTAATAATAATAACAATAACGATGAGCAAGAAAATGAACAGGGTGAAGCAGAAGAGTAGGAGAAAAAGAAAATAGAATTCCAAAGAGGGGGAAGAAGAAGAAGAAGAAGAAGAAGAAGAAGAAGAAGAAGAAGAAGAAGAAGCAGAAGTGAGTACGATGAGGAGGAGAAGAAGGAGTAATCAGTAATAGTGTTTTTAATAATATAATAATAAGAATGATGAGCAAGAGAATGAATAGAAGCAAATGACAACAGAAGAATGATGAGTAGGAGAAGAAGAAGGGAGAAAATAAGTAAGTAGTATTCGGAGGAAAAGAAGAAGAAGGATAATAAGAGGAAGACGCATTTTACTTTTAAACTGGGTGAAGTTAAAAATAAAGACATTTAAAAAATATATATGTGGTGAGGATTCGAATCCAGTGCATCCACGCTGACAAAAAGCATCTAAACATTAGGTTTCCTTAACTTCCAATTAAAGAAAAATCGGGGCCAGAATACTGGGTCCTACCAACATACTTTTCTAGTTGGGGAAGAGGAAGAGGAAACGACCATGGACTTACCTTTTAGAGTAATGTTCATGCCTCTGAACCCAATGTTGACCCCGACAGTGACATTGGCGTCCTGTCCCGTACCCGCCCTGTACTTGGTCACTGTTTGCGTTTTGGCAGTTTCCCAAGTCATCGCAAAGTTGCACACTGTAAACAAACAATGCATGATTTCAGTTGCAGTCAACAAGCAGCAAAATTTTTACTGGAGAAAAAAGGGTACAAGTAACGATCTCCGGCCCATACACACCGTGACTGGTCGTCCATTCATGCTTGCTGACCTTTCACACGCGCGACTCTGTTACGCTCTTACCGGTTCTTAACATTCCTGTACATCAGAGGTTCTCAACTATTTTGACTCGCAGAGTCCTTTTCAGAATCAGTTTTTTTAGCTGAGCTCCTTAGGCCTGCCCTTTCATATACGCTACATATTTTATGGTGTTTAAGGGGTCACTACACGGCATTTTTTTCCAATTTATGACAAAAATATAACTTTTTCAGTATGTTCATTTTTGTAATGTTCGGCATTCATAGAATAGATTACACACAAAATTTGTGTCATTGGTAAACAATTTAGCATTGAAAAGTTAATACTAAAGACACCAACCCATGCACTTTTTTAAGATAAAAAAAAGTTTAAAAGACATTTTTCCAACAATTCTATTTGTTGTTGTTGTTGTTGTTGTTGTGTGTGGGATCTCATAAAATCTCAGCTAATATAAGGACTAGAGACGTGAAATTAGGTGTGGATATTCCTAACACAAAATTATAGGGTCAGGTCTATTTGAAATTACAGTTTATTAAGTAATTAAAAACAAAAATTTGATTATTATCTTAAAAAGCGATATTTTTGTATTTTTTCAACATACCTAAATTGTAATATTCTAAAAAAAATGTTTAAAAACATCTTTGAAGTAAATAAACTAGACCTGACCCTAAACATAGGCTTAAAGTTCATGAATCGATCATTTGTTTTTCAATACCTCTGTTTGTTTTTAAAATTTTAGCTGTCTAAGTACATGTTTTTTTTAATCAAAATGGCGGCTGTTGCCATGGCAACCATGTTTTTTCACACTTGAAGTCTACAAATGTATCAACATACATCCCTACAAATGACCATTATAAAATAATTGGTCTAACATTGTAAGTAAAAAAAATTCTTTTTCCTGTAGTGACCCCTTAAAAGTAATGTTTCTAAACGAAGGAAGATTTTTAGTAAAAGTATTTGGTTCTGGTTGTTATTTTTTGTTGCTCCTCCAAGTCATGGGTCACGGGACAGTCTAATATCTTAGTGGTGTTTCAGAATAGACAGCCCAATGTCAAGCTGAAGTTGCTGTTGGCGCGTGTGCTAAGCGTTGCCGTTGCCAACTGCAGCGAGGCGGGGGATAGATAACTAGTAATGTGGCATGTCACTTGTCATGCAGTTTTTGTGTGTGCTTGGACTCGGGTTGTTGAGAGTTTGGGTATGCATTTGGGCGGGCAAAGTTATTTTGCGGTTGTGGGTGGCGTCTATTTGTTTTTGTTTTTCCTGTTTTTCTGTGTGTTGGTGCAATCGGGAAGATGAAGTTTTTTGCGGTTCTGTGTGGTTTCTTTTTGTTTTTGTGTTTTCCTGCTGGGAAGAATCTAGGCTTGACGTAGGTATGTTGAGAAGATGTTATTAGGCAAATATGCAGCCTAACCGACATCATACCTGGTGCAGAATGGATACCTGTGCCTCAGGCATTTATTTGTACATTTTCCTGTATTGTCACACTCAACAGGCGATGTAGAGAAAATAATCCTGTTGCTGTTAATGCAGAGGTCAACGCTCTCATCGGTGAAAATTCAGACGAAGCAGATGCACTAATCTATACAGACGGATCAGTTATACGCCAAAGAAGAAGCGCATGGGCATTTACAGCACGCTCAGCGGGCAGAACAGCCAAAGAAGCCAACGGCGCTTTCTCCATGACAACCAGCAGCATGACGATGGAGGTGATGGCAGTGACGCAAGCGTTTGCCTGGCTTGAAACACAAAAATACACCCGCATATGTATACTCAGTGATTCAATGAGTATGATCCGGAGGGTTCAGGCAGGTTCAGTGCGAAGACAATGGCTTGAATCAATTCAGAAGTCCACTGTGCGAGGAGTCACCTTTATTTTTGTTCCGGGACACGCAGGCGTCGATGGAAATGAAAGAGCTGACAGGTTGGCTGGATCCGCTATCACTACCGACGGTCGGCCTATGGATCATGCTGATATTATCAATGCCCTCAGAGAAATGGGAAGGATAGAGGACTTTGGTGGCAGGGAATCCACATCACTCGCCAGAATGGCAGACTTGGGAATTAAGATCGGCACAGCAAAAAACGAGACGCACACCAGACACGCCAGAAGACTTGTTAATCAACATAGAACTGGTACTATTAGCCATCGGACGTTGGGGTTCATACTGAGGGGAGGATCTGAGCACCTATGGACATGTCCGGAGTGCAATGATGATAACCCAACTAACTAACTAACTAACTAACTAACTAACTAACTAACTAATGTTGAGGTTAGGATCAACAGTTGTGAATGTTGTGGGGCCGTTTGGTGGATGTTTTAGAGTCGTTTGGTGAACGTAGATGGGTTGAGGTTAGGTCATTAAACAGACTTGTATCAGTTTCAACAGCGGCATTCTCTCCGCCGATCACTGCAGGATTCATCAATAATGTATTAGCACACACCTCCCGTATGTAGGTGCTCCACTCCACGGTTGTAATCTTCAACATGCTCAGCTCTACTTTGCAAAATGGAATGCTTGTCAACTCGTGAGACCAGTAGTATAGAAATTATTCGTCTGTAAGATAGGCGCGACCCTTCCAGCCATGACGACCGCCCTGTCGCAGTTGGCAACGGCACGCGCCAGCACGAGCCAACTAACAATCTCTCTGGAAAAACCCCATCTTATAATAACCTAAGACTGTCCCGTGACCTTTAACTTGGGTCGGGGGGGGGGGGGGGGGGGGGGGGGGGGGAGGGGGAGGGGGGATGCAAAAAAAAAAAAAAAAAAAAAAGCAAGTACCAAGGATTTAAAATAAAGATATATCCAAAACAATTGCACATGTCCTTGCAATAAAACGATATTTTTACAACTAATATTTCCACAATGATTTTTTTTTCAGCTACCGCCAATAAGGACACGTGTTACAGGGTGTGTGGCAGGCCCGCTTACTCTCGTTGTCTGTCAATAATTTTGGAGCCAGTGGCAGCAGATTCTATTTATTTCCTTATCTTATTTCATTCATCACGCCCCCCCCCCCCCCCCCCCCATTCCCCCTCCTTTTTTTTAAGCTGCCGAGGAACCCAGGAAAATGCACGGGGAACCCTTAGGGCTCCACGGAACACCGGTTGTGGGCCGTTCCTGTACATTTTTTGCTGAAATAAATTTGATTAATTCTCTTGGTCCTTTTCTTTTTGTTCACCCTATCTCGAGGACTCCAGGATTTCGTTGGAAGTTCCCGGCAAAGTCCAATGGTATACATATGAATGTTGGGGTGGGAAATGAACAGAGACTAACTCTAACCCACCCCCATAATATTGGACTTTCCCGGAAATCCCGCAAAATCTCGGAGTCCCCCAGATAGGGTGAACCACCGCCTTCTCTATTCTAGAGTCGGCCGTGGGTGAACAAAAAGAAAACTACCATACTCTACTGTTTAAAGGCGTTTAGAGACCCAGATGATCGACTTGGTTTCCTCGTATTTTATCCGATGTAAATGTTTCTCTCCACACATCGGCTGGTCGTCCACTAGGAGTGTTACACAAAGACCGGCACTGACACAAATAAAACATTGAGGGCTGGCAGCTCAGTTCAGCATCGCCCATTCTCCACCCCACCTCCAACCTTTTACATATTTTCTAGAGGGAAGGGAGAGGGCCCCTCAAAGGGCTTCAGTCTTGTTAAGGTGCATCGGTATATATATTTCAGAGTCCTGCATCTCTGACACACAGCGAGAATGTATCACCTGCGGCAACTACTCCTGAACTCGGGAGAGATATCAAAAGCACTTGTACTCTCTCTACTCTCTGTCTTCCTCTTAACCTATCTAAGTCTCGTTATCTCTGTCTCCTCCTTAATATATCTCTGTCCTTCTCTCTGCAGCCTCTCCCATCCCAGTCTCTCTCTGACCCAGTCTTTCTCAGTTTCTCTCAATTTATGCCTGTCCTCTCTCTCTCTCTCCCTCCCATCCCCGTCTCTCTCTCATAATCTTTAGTTGTTATTTAAATAAATATGTTTAAATTTTACTGTCTCTTTTCCTAAGCCGTCTTCATTGTTTACTAATATTTGATCTCAGCAATTCACGGTTAATTTTGTGTTTCCTACTGATTCTTCTCCGTGATCACACACACGCAGTCACCCACACCGCACACGCATGCATACAATCCCCCTCCCCCGTCCTCAAAAACACTCACGTGCATACAAACAACACACATTCACACAAACAACACACATTCACACAAACGAACTTACCAAGTATGGCAGCACCAATGAACAGACTCACTGTAATACGTGTAAATGCGAACAACCTCTGCAAATAATTATATTTCAAATGCAATCATGAAATAATTATATATATAAACACAAACAAAATATACATAAGATAAAAATATTTTATATATATATATATATATATATATATATAATATTTTTATCTTATGTATTTTTTGTTTGTTAATGATTATTCAGTAACTGAATGATGTTTGTAGTTGTGGTGGCAGCAAGAGTTGTCGTGGTAACGGTGTTAGTTCTTGTAGTTGTAGTAATGGTGGCAGTAGTAGCGATGAATGTAGTAGTGGTGGTAGTAGTAGTGATGAATGTAGTAGTGGTGGTAGTAGTAGTGATGAATGTAGTAGTGGTGGTAGTAGTAGCGATGAATGTAGTAGTGGTGGCAGTAGTAGTGATGAATGTAGTAATGGTGGTAGTAGTAGTGATGAATGTAGTAGTGGTGGCAGTAGTAGCGATGAATGTAGTAGTGGTGGCAGTAGTAGTGATGAATGTAGTAGTGGTGGTAGTAGTAGTGATGAATGTAGTAGTGGTGGTAGTAGTAGTGATGAATGTAGTAATGGTGGCAGTAGTAGTGATGAATGTAGTAATGGTGGCAGTAGTAGCGATGACCGTAGTAGTGGTGGCAGTAGTAGTGATGAATGTAGTAGTGGTGGCAGTAGTAGCGATGACAGTAGTAGTGGTGGCAGTAGTAGTGATGAATGTAGTAATGGTGGCAGTAGTAGTGATGAATGTAGTAATGGTTACAGTAGTAGTGATGAATGTAGTAGTGGTGGCAGTAGTAGTGATGAATGTAGTAGTGGTGGCAGTAGTAGTGATGAATGTAGTAGTGGTGGCAGTAGTAGTGATGAATGTAGTAGTGGTGGCAGTAGTAGTGATGAATGTAGCAGTGGTGGCAGTAGTAGTGATGAATGTAGTAGTGGTGGCAGTAGTAGTGATGAATGTAGTAATGGTGGCAGTAGTAGTGATGAATGTAGTAGTGGTGGCAGTAGTAGTGATGAATGTGAACTATGGACAACTTCCGGCATGGCGGCGCTAGCAACCAAGATTATTTCAAGGCAAACACTTTGCGTAGTGAATCGGTTTTCATCGCTCAAATCAAACCTCTTACCAATTTAAACACATGATGGCAATGTTTTCCACCGCTGCATACTCGAGAATATCAGGTTTCCTTACTTGTTACTTCGTTGTTTACACTGGCTGTGGTAGGTCGGGTTCGCGAATGGAAGAGGAAATAATTACAGACATTTGGAGTTCTATTTTTACAAATATTACCCCTTACTTTGCGATGACATCTCATCAGGCTACACACACATAGTTATGTCGTACAGGGGCGACACTGTGCTGATGGGCGTTACGTCTCTGGCCCCTTCCCCAGCACGACGGCACCACTGGGGTGACGTTAATAAACTCTCACTAATTAAATATGGTAGACATTTTTGATGAACTCAATCCTCGCCAGAGCTACGGATTTCGTGCGTCCGTACTGAGATCCGATGCAGCAGCGTCTACACGCTACAGAAGAAAAAGAGGACAACATGGTAGAAAACGGCGCAATAGACGTGCTGGTGCACGCAAAAACCAATCTAAATCAGAACGCCTTGGCAAGAGAAATCTCCGCATTCTTTGCTGGAACTGCAGGAGTGTTCGACAGAGAGGCCCAATCTTGGAGAAACTAATATATGATGCTGATATAATCGCACTTCAGGAGACCCGGCTGAATACAGAAGAAGCTCTGAATGTCTCAGGCTTCCAAACGTACTACAACAGCAAACACCTAGGCCAAGCGATCCTGGTCAGGCGCGGAATAACATCCTCAGTTGTAGACACGAGTGCGTGGAACAACAGCGAAATTCAGGTTCAGGCCGTAAAGGTAGACGGTAGTAAACCTTTCACACTAATCAACATCTATGCCTGTAATGATAAAGTTGACAAAGAAAAGTGGACAATTTTAAGTGACATATGCGAGCAGATAACCACCGACATCATTATGTGTGGGGACTTCAATGCCAAAGGTCGTCTATGGGGCAATCTGACGGTCAATAAACAGGGCGAGGCACTGGAGGAAGCACTAACAGACACGGATTTAATCTGCTTGAATGATGGCAGACCCACCAGAATCCCCGACAGAGAAGGTGATACTGACAGTGCCCTTGATCTCACGCTGGTCTCTCCCAGTATGAGTGCACTTTGCCAGTGGGGCGTACTGGGACATCATGAAAGCGACCACCTTCCATGTTGGATTCTGGTCAAAAAAAACAATCTGCACAAGGTATCAGAGACCAGCCACTTCTTTCCAGTATGCTGCAAATCAGCCTGATGTAATTGGGCGTCTGCGAGACAGGTCACGCAGAACACCGGGAAAGAAGAAAGCTATCTTTCAACAGCCCCAGTGGTGGACACCTGAAGTCGCAGAAGCCTGGACAGAGAAACGAGGTGCCACCAAAGACTGGGAGAAATGCAGAAAGTCTTCGAATTTTACTGAGGCGCAGAAACAAGACATTAAACACAAAAAAGACAGACTCACTGAACATTTTAAACAACTCGCAAAGGAGTCTAAGCACACAATGTGGGAACATTTTTGTCAAGAAATAGGCTACGAAAAATCTCTCAGAAAATTCTGGCGGCTCCACCAAAAGATGAACGGAGGCAAACAAACCTCTGTTATGCCCGAGCTAAAGATGGACAACGGGGTGGTGTTAAAATCGGATAAAGACAAAGGGGAGGCTATCCTGCACAGATTTCTCCTGCAGACGGAAAAGAAAGACAGGGAAGATAGGGAGCAGATGAAACAGAATTTACATGATATCCAGATGGCTGAAATCGAGGAAGACGATGATACAGTATACATCTCAACGGACTGCATCAAAGCAACACTGAAGACCTGTCCAGACACAGCTCCAGGTCCTGATGGCATTAGATACAGCGACTTCAAAAGCCTCGATATGACAGATATGGATGAACTATCCACGATTTTTAACAACACCATGAAAACTGGCATTATTCCTGATGACTGGCTCCACAGCTATCTCAGACCAGTTCCTAAGCCAGGAAAAGACCACACGAGAATAAATGGCTATAGGATCATAACACTTCAGAACACGGTAGGAAAACTCATGGAAAAAATCGTTGCCAGAACGTTAACCCAAAAATTAGAGTCGGGTGGTCTATTCCCCGCTACACTAGGTGGTTACCGACCAGGAAGAGATACATGGTGCAATGCTGCAGTATTTGCTTACGACACATATGAGGGTTTCCAGGAGGGAATGGAAACTGCTGCAGCCGCTATTGACTTAGAAGATGCGTACAACAGCGTCCCATACAACATGCTCATCAGACTGCTGTTGGATATGCAGATAGAAACAAAGTTGGTCAACTGGATCGCAGCAGCGTTTTTTGAAAGAACAGTGTCGCTTCGATGTGGTAAATGGGCATCCGAACCTCAACGAGTCCTAATGGGTCTGCCACAGGGATCACCACTGTCGCCTGTGCTCTTCAATGTGTACACAGCAGGAGTCACTAGTGCACAACGCGTAGGTCTAGGTAGAACAATGTCGTATGCAGATGATATTCTTGTTTACCGTCGAGGTAAAAACAGGCAGGAAATTACAACCACACTACAACACGAACTGGACAGACTTAGTGAGTGGTGCCAGGAATCAAGAGCTCATGTGAACCCGTCCAAAGCCTCCTTAACATGGTTCTCTCTAAATACTCACATCGTCAATACACCAACGCCAGTCGTAAGCATATGTGGTGTGGACATCGAGAGAACGGACACCATGAAATACCTGGGTATGACATTTGACAGATGCTTGTCATACAAATGCCACGTAGACAACGTCATACTTAGAGCCAGAAAAGGTCTGACAGCACTCAAGGTGCTAGCAGCAGCTGATATTGAACAACGCCTACTTTTCCTTCTCTATCAAGGGCTTGTGCTTAGCGTCATTGACTATGGTCTTGGCCTCCTCACTGTCAGCAAAACCCAGCTAGAAAGACTGGACCGAGTACAAAATGAGGCCATGAGACTCATACTCGGCTGCACAAAAGACACCTCCTGCAACGCCATGCGTTATGTCCTGGGTTTGCCGACGATGACTAGTAGATACAAAGTGGCACAAGTCAAGGCTTACATGAGGGTATCGGCAGACGCTAACCACCCATTGCACAAAGCTATATACGATACAAAAGGAACGCGTCTCAAAAGAGGCCGCTCTTGGATGGCAAAGGCTGAGAATTTGATCCAGCAGGTATGTGACCTACGCGTTATCAGGCACGGAAAAGAATGGATGAATACACCAGTAGACATGCATGGCATCTCTAAGGTTGTCATCACACTAGGAAGGTACTGTCGGGATCAGATTCCTGCGGCCATAGACACAAAAGTAAGGGAACTGATAGATCAGCATTCAGACCCAGAAGATATCATCATCTACACAGATGGGTCCGTGAAGCGCGGATCAAGGTCAGCATGGGCATACACAGCGCAAAGAAGGGGGAAAACAATACATGAAGATAGCGGCGCTTACCAGACAACCACGTCAAGCATGACCATGGAAATAGCCGCTGCTTCTAGAGCTTTAGCATGGGTATCCGAGCAAACCGCCACACAAGCAGTAATTGTCTCAGACTCAATGAATATGCTTCAGAAAATAGCAACTGGCAGTATGCGCTCTGAATGGATAGAAAGCATTCGGAAATCGCACTTAACTTCCGTAACCTGGATCTACACACCGGGTCATGCGGGCGTAAAGGGAAATGAGCGAGCGGACCAACTGGCAAGCACAGCACTAATGATTGCGGGAAAAAGCATGGACAGAGCAGATATCGTTAACGCTGTACGTACTGGGCTAGTGGATAATATCGAATCCCTGACACTAACACGATTGCGTGACATGGGAGTTAAGCATGGTGAAGCACGTCTTTGCCGTCTGCGAGGCCGAGAAAGGAGACAATATAACCAGCTTCTCATGGGGACAATTAGTAGAAGTACTTTGGAGTGGCTGCTGCTTCGGAGGACTGCGCACGCATGGGTATGCCCAATGTGCAGTGACGTCGATTGTGATAACAAAACACAAAATAACATTTTGTAGGAAGTCGGCATTCCGAAACCCAAGTTCAAGGTGTCTCCTTCGTGCCAAAGAACTGCATGGCTGTTGGGTGAACAGTCGTTAACGAAGGCAGTCAGGTCGTTGTAGGGGCGACGCCTGCTAGTGGATGTAATGTCCCAAGTCCCTTTCCCAGCTAATAGTGAGGGTACTGCTGGGGTGACCATTTGTTAACCCCTCACATAATGCTTCAAGTCACAGTGGACGCTAGGCACGGCCATTTTTTTTTTTTTTTTTTTTTTTTTTTTTTTTAGCCGTGGCAGTTCTGCCAGGCGGTGGCCGTTGCATTTTTGCTCCATTTGTAGACTGGAAGGATATGGTTTCGTCACCCAGCTTCTGAGTTGAGTGCATGGTGTGACACTGTGAGCTACGAGTGTTTTTCGTTGGCACAGGAGCGGAGCAACAATGGGGTGACCCGTTTGCTATGATGCTGAAACTAGGATTACCAGATTACCAGATAGTGATGAATGTAGTAATGGTGGCAGTAGTAGTGATGAATGTAGTAGTGGTGGCAGTAGTAGTGATGAATGTAGTAGTGGTGGCAGTAGTAGTGATGAATGTAGTAGTGGTGGCAGTAGTAGTGATGAATGTAGTAGTGGTGGCAGTAGTAGTGATGAATGTAGTAATGGTGGCAGTAGTAGTGATGAATGTAGTAGTGGTGGCAGTAGTAGTGATGAATGTAGTAATGGTGGCAGTAGTAGTGATGAATGTAGTAGTGGTGGCAGTAGTAGTGATGAATGTAGTAGTGGTGGCAGTGTTGATTATTATTATTATTCTTATAGTAGTGGAATGATGATATTAGTAGTAGTTCCCCGTGTGGGTTCCAGTGCTCTATTATAGGGAAAACGAGAATAGACCTACTACCTACCCAAAAGCATGTCGTGAGAGTCGACTAATTGGGAGCTTCCTTCGAGGTCGGAGTGCATCTGCCTGAGAGGCAAGGAACCAGCAGTCTGCATTCAAATGAATCAGATCTGTCATACGGATGCACACGCAACACTCAGGTTCTGGAACAAGACTGCAGTCCAGAAGTGGATGAACAACCAGAACTTTCCGCGAGTTTAAAGCTGGTGAATGCGAAGAAGAAGAAGATTATTAGTAGTAACAGTATTTTCAGGAGTAATAATAATAGTAAAAGTTGTTACTGTTGTTAAAGTAGTCATTTTAGTATCGTGGGTAGTAAGTAGTAATACTAGTGGTAGTAAAAGAAGTTTAAAGAGTAGAAATAATAATAATAACAATAACAACAACAATAATAATAATAATAATAATAATAATAATAATAATAATAATAATAATAATAATAATAATAATAATAATAATAAAGCCACAGCCTCAACAGTAGTGGTGGTGGTGGTAGTGGTGATGGTAGTAGTTGTAGAGCAAGTAGAAGAAGCATCAGTAAGCTCTCTCAAAACAACTCACCTCTTTACCGAAAACTCCTGGAAGAATGACATAGAATGAAAGAATCAAAATCGCGAAACAAAATATCAACCCAGAGGTCAGTAAATCTCCCTCCCAAGGGATTCGAACAGCCTCATAGAATGTTGGCCCGCCATACTGCCTGAAAGCTTCAAAAAACATCTTGAATGTTGCTGAAAAATGTTATAAAACACCCATAAAGTTTTATGTTGTTACTCTGTTGAATTTACTTGCTAATGAATTATGTGCTGAATTTACTTCCTAGTGACTCCTTTTTTATACATGTTTCAGAGCAGGATTAAATTATATTACTAAAGTAGGGGCACCCTTTTCTTGAAGCGTGGGTTTTCCTTGCTTGTGTGAACTGTATATCGCTTAGCGGAACTAAAATGTTGTCAGGTAAATTTTGATGAGTCATAGAAGGATATTTTTGGGTTTTGAGTGAGCTTTCTCGCCATCGTCATGATTAAGTGCGTTGTTAACATGCGAGGGTGATCAAGTGTCTCCCTAACTTGTGATCTACAACAGCGCATTTCACTTCTTGTGCCAACAACCCTGGATGCGATTAAAACATAAACACACACAAAAACCAAGCACACATACACACACACACAACTGTCAAGTACCTTTTTGTTTTATCTCTCCCTCTCTCCCATCTTCCACCTCTCTATAATAAATATGTTCCTTTTTAAAAAATGACCATAATATGACCGAAAAATGATGACTGGCTTTTTCTGATGAATAAGTTAGTTGATCGCAGTTTTAACTTCATGCAAATGAGTCACTCCATAACTGCCCCGTTTCTGATGTCAGCAAAAATCACACAGAATACCAGTCACTGTTCCTTATAAGCAAACATGTACACTGAAGTCTCGGCAAAACCAGTACCATACACGCGCATTAAATGCATCAGGCAGCCATCGGGTGTGCCAGCACAAACAGTCCACCACTAGGATTACAGTCATAAATGAAAGCAGTGGTTACTACAGCTGCACAAGCAAAATAGCATAAGGCCATGTGCGTTGACAACAAGGTATTCGTCATATTTTGAATCGGTAGTTGTCAGTTTGAAAACATTCTTAATGAAATCCACAGCTGTCTCTTTCTGAAATTTGTGATAGATTGTCTTCAGGTTTCGCCTCTTTAAACCACCTGGCCTAATCATTTTGGCTGTCCAAGATGTTACAAACATTTTTAAATATGATATGACATATATATATATATATATATATATATATATATATATATATATATATATATATATATATATATATATATATATACACATGTACTTATATATGTATATTTGCTATACGTCTTAGTATGCCATAAGTCACGTGAAGGGGACATGGTTGAAGATATCTGTACTTGTTTAAAACTGGCGCCTTTTTCTAAACGAGGCTGGATCACAGCTTATTTGATGAATAGTAATAAAACTGCACCGCTGTGGAGTGCAGCAACCTCGGCAAAGCAAATAATGATAAAATGGTACTGATTCTCTGGATATATGGATATATGTTGTATTTGATGGAAACAACAATCAAATACAGAGGTACTAACGACAATAATAATGACAAGATTGTTATTGAAAGAAGAATAACAGTGAGACAAATAAAATATTTCACCCATACTAAAAGGCATAAAACTCCTATTAAAACCATACTGGATGGAAAAGTTGAAGGAATGAGAGAATGAGGAAGACGAGCGAGATAACATCAACAGGTGGACGAACATTAGTCTGAGGGGTGCCTAGCTAGCTATGTTTTTAGTACACTTGTTTCTATAGCGAGTGGCACACGCCATTTGGAGGTGGCAGATTCTATCCCGTCATGGTAGCTATAGCTTTCGATTTGTATGATGTCTAGCGTGTTCTTCTATCTTTGTAATTCTTTCTACGAGTGCTGATCAAAACGTCTTATGTTTGTTTATATATATTTATAGAATAGTCTGAGAGAGTGTTCATTCAGGGCGAAAGACAGAGTGTGTAGCCGATCAACTCCAGCCAACCTTCTCTGTGCAGACAGAAGATGATGGATTGATCAATGTGTAAACTGAAACGGCTATCCTAACGGTCCTAAATTATCGAGGCGGACAATATACCTTAACAGGGCCTCAGTCACGTGTCAATTGCGCACTTCCGTCGTCTTAAATTGCTCGCTTCCGGCAACTTCCGCCACCGCCGAGAGTATGGATTGGGGCTAAACTAGATGGCTGGGACTCACGAGCAACAGCTACCGCATCTCCTGCAGCTTCCTTCATTTTATTTGCTCGTGAGTCCTAGCCATCTAGTTTAGCCCCAATCCACGCCGCGTGAGCAGCCTGTGGGATACTCTCGGCGGTGGCGAAAGTTGCCAGAGTTTCGCAATTCTGCGGTGGCGTTATAGTCCCCGGTGAGCAACTGACACGTGACTGAAACCCTGTTATGGTATATTTTCCGCATCGATAATTTAGGACCGTTATTCGGAGGAAAGCCACTCAAACAGTAAAGAACATTTTTCTCGCAATTGGCAGAACGGACATAAGATGTTAAAGTCATATATTTTTTTTTCCTAAAACAATCGGCACTTGACGGTGATTACTTCTCACAATATTTCACGGCTGGATTTAAAAAAAAAAAAAAAATGTACCTTGGCTAACCGGAAGATCAAGAGCCGTCGCACTGTAGCACTCCTCTGCGGATCTGAAGGTCGTGGGATCGAATCGGAAGGGCGCCGGCCTTTTTTTCTTTCTTTCAAAAATGACAATGGACACATTGAGATGTTGTAGAGGTGCTGTGATGTTATCTTTCCATCTTTTTTTGGGGTCTAATTTGTGCTGTACGTCTTTCTCTTCTTTTGAAGTATTCTTTGTATGGTATGGCGTCACAAGGCATTCTCTCTAAGAACATTTGATTTGCTTTTGATTACAATGTTCCTAATGTACTAGGGTGGAGAAGCCCTGAGTACCAAGATAAAAAAAAAGGAAAATAGTTCGTTTAGGTGGGGACTAGAAACAGGGATTTTCTAGTCCAGACACAAGATCTTCTGTGTAAAGTCTAATAAGCCAGGTAACAAATAAACAAACTACGCACACTAGCCACAAGTACTAATCCGAATCAAAAAGCTGGGACTATCATTATCACATTCACATCTATTTATTTCACTGAACATCATCTAAGGTCTTCACAAATAATAATGCATTAAAATTCACAACGTGCTCGAAAATACCCTACAATAGATGGAACCTATCTTTCTCTACTCATCTCAACCCACGTTGCGTAGAATCATTGAACGCAACGGACAAATCAAAACTACATGTTTCTCGTCCTAAAACCAGGGAGCCTAAGAGAGCGAAAATGGTCACTCCAGTCTGTTTTATCACTTCCTGACCCCCAAGTTGGCCAGGTTTTTAGGTCGCTTAAATAGGCCTAATTCAATTTATGTAACAGTCGTCCAGCGCCTATTTCAGGTCTCCTCATCAAATCTGTTGGCGTCCCGACAACTACACAATACCTTACAATAATTGTTTACCAATTCTTCCTTAACTCCTGTTCTTCATTTACTGTGCATTAACCACAGAAACACAATTATTTTCATGACATAACATAATCTCTAGCTACTTGCAGCATCTTTAACATGTACACAATCGTCAATAACACACAACAAGCAAATCTGCAATATAAAAAAACACAAAAATGCAAAAATAATCGAATACATCGTGATCAGTAAACATCGGGATTCTTGAGTAGCTGCTCTCGCTGACATCCAGCAATTCTTGGTAGACGGGTTCTTTAAGCTGTTTTTATTACCTCAGCCGCGGGGCTTACATTGGACTGTTTCCACCACACTTTGCCCTTGTCACCACCGCGTGACACAAAGAAGTTTGTCCTTGTCACCACCGCGTGACACAAAGAAGTTTGTCCTTGTCACCACCGCGTGACACAAAGAAGTTTGCCCTGGTCACCACCGCGTGACGCTTAAAGCCAAAATTTTACCTCAGCTTTGACAAAGCCTGATCGGACATACCTCAGCTCTGCGTGAGCTTACAATGGACTGATCGGACATACCTCAGCTCTGCGTGAGCTTACAATGGACTGATCGGACATACCTCAGCTCTGCGTGAGCTTACAATGGACTGATCGGACATACCTCAGCTCTGCGTGAGCTTACAATGGACTGATCGGACATACCTCAGCTCTGCGTGAGCTTACAATGGACTGATCGGACATACCTCAGCTCTGCGTGAGCTTACAATGGACTGATCGGACATACCTCGGCTCTGCGTGAGCTTACAATGGACTGATGGGTCACTGCAATGTTATTAAAAACTTCACTGCATACCTCAGTCGGTCAGTGTAATTCACACGTGACTCCCTTTATGAAAAGACCTACAGTTAAACCGGTCACGGAGACATAAAACAAATAATCTGACCCCAAGCTTAGGTCGCAATAGAAAGAAACCACTCCTAGCATCACACAAACCACACCGCGAACAATAGGCACACCTTGACCAGCTGATCTTTCTGCACACAACTAATTAGGTCAACAGTTCACAACACATTTCCTTAACTCCTCCTCGTCTACTAAGAGTCGCAGTTTATTTTGCTGTCTGCTAGTCAACACATACTGTGGTCGCGACTCAGTAGGAGCGCGAAGAATGACATAAATTTCGTCTGACCACGCTTCATTGGTATCACCTTCTTCCTGTTCGAGTTTTAAATTGACTTTATCCCCGACCTGGTATCTGACAGTTTCAACGGTCTTTAAAGTAGACTGCTCATTGCTAGATAACTCAGTGCACAACTGATTGACCGGAACTGAATTCTCGTTGTTCTGTGTTTGATCAGGCGAGTCGTCACTAGGAGCTTGCGAACTTTTCTTCCTCCGTCTCCCCCTCGTGTGTTTTGAGGGCGCGTAACTCTGATTGCAGTCCTGTTTATCACCGAACCTCTCACGAGAAACTACACAAGAGAGTTCGTTTAAATCTGCAGGGGGCACGACTCGAGCGGGGCCATGTGGGCTCCTACGCCACACTTTGCGAGTTCTGTTCTGACTATAGTTAGCCGCTTCTTGCCTCTGCACATGAATAGGGTGCCGAACTTCGCCGACTGGTTTTCTTCTTTGACAGGCATTCATTAAATGGGATGACGACTGACAAATAAAACATAGCTTACGCCGTTTCTG